TCACATGAATTGTTTTAACAGTTTACACTAGCACAGAAATAATAGCTGACAACTCCTGAGCATTACCTATGTGCCAGGCACTGTGCTTCCTGCTTTGTGTATTATCTAATCCCTACACCAGTGCTCGTATTATTTTCCCCACTGTAACAGATGGAGAAGCTGAGGCAGAAAGAGGTAAGTAACTTGGCAAAGGTCAATACAACTTAAAAATAGCAGTTGAGATTTGAACCCAAGTGTTCAGACTCCAGAGTCCATGCTCTAGAAATGACTGTCAAACTGTCACACACAGACGCAACCGCTGTGGAAACCAACTCTGAGTAGTCAAACTTCTTAAGATTTCCAGGAAATTTTACAGATCAAGTATCTAGTTCTTTTAGGGATATAAATGACATCAACTAAATAACCTTGTTGATATCCTTGAGAGAAGTTCTGAGAAATTCATCATGTAGAACATGATTTGACTATTAACTACACTCCCTTTTAAGCAGATATTAATGGTATTGAATCCATTTACATCATAATTAGGATATGTTATTAGTCTTTAATTTCATTCAATAAATATTTGATCTAAGTTACCTTTAGACTGTCAACAGGTGGTCAGATTATCATTTCAAAATCCAATTAAGGTGGCAGAAAACTTGACAAAAAGTTAAAACTAAAAAATTGTATCTGATGATCTTTCTAGCTGTTTTTTTCTAGTAGATTCATCAAGAATTCAATTACCAGGTATCACATCAAAAAGTTTAGAGTGGGCCTAGATTTAAATACATATCTTCCTCGACTTACAATGGGTTACATCCCAATAAACCCATCGTAAATTGAAAATATCATAAGTGCGAAATGCATTTAATACACCTAACGGACAGAACGTCATGGCTTAGCGTCGCCAACCGTAAATGTGCTCAGGACACTTACATTAGCTTACAGTTGGGCAAAATCATCTAACACTATTTTATAATAAATTATGGAATATCTCATGTAATTTATTGAATACTGTACTGAAAGTGAGAAACAGAATGGTTGTCTGGGTACGGATGGTTGTTCATGTATCGGTTGTTCACCCTCGGGTCCGCGTGGCTGACTGGGAGCTGCGCTCGCTGCCGCTGCCTAGCATCACGAGAGAGGATGGGACCACATATTGCTAGCCCTGGAAAAGAGCACAATTCAAATTCCAAGTATGGTTTCTACTGAATGTGTATCACTTTCGCACCATCATCAAGTCGAAAAATCATAAGTGGAACCATTGTAAGTCTGGGACCATCTGTACTGAAATAATCACATGTTCACTTAACTACTCTGAGGGGAAAGGGGAGAGGGGTTAAAATGTTAATAGAAGCATTTAAGGATTCTGTTTTCTTTACATTTATATACTACATATTTTGTCTAATTAAGGGGTGACTAAATGGAGGCAAGACTCTTACCACTTTGTATGAATAAGAACATCATTTGTACCCCACTTAATATTCATAACCTAGCACATCAGTGTACAGTACGAGGAAAAAATTCTTATTCGTACTTGCAAATTAATTCTGTTTACCTAGATCAGGCGAAGGCAAACTATGGACCCCTGGCCAAACCCAGCTGTTGCCTGTTTCTTAGTGCTCCATGAGCTGATTGGTGTATACATTTTTTTAAGGTTGAAAAAAGCCAAAAGAATACACTTTTTAACACATGAAAACATATGAAATTCAAATTTCAGTGTCCATAAATAAAGTTTTTTTGGAACACAGTGTTTATGTATTGTCTATGGCTGCTTTGGGGCTACTACAGCTGAGTTGAGAAGCAACAGAGACCTTCTGGCTCACAAAGCATAAAATACTCTCTGGCCCTTTAGAGAGAGTTTGCTGACCCCTGAGCTATCTACTCCTCACTTGGAGGGGAGGGAGAGGAAGAAAAGTTGAAGTCTTAAACTAGCAATCCCTGGCCAAATTAGACCCAAGGCCTTCCAGAACATAGGTTGGGTTGAGTTTCAAAACAATTTTAAGTGCCTTTAAAAAAGGAATGAGGGCTTCAGTTCATTACTTCCCTACAGTTCTTACCATTTATTGCCTTCATCTACTTATGTTACCTCCCTGGCTTCTGAAGTCATTTGAATTTGTAATAAATGATTTAGATCAGGGGTCCTCAAACTTTTTACATAGGGCCAGACAATAAATATTTTAGACTTTGTGGGCTAAGAGGCGAAATTGAGGATATTATGTAGTACTTATGTAATGAGATAAATTGGCAACAACTTTTATAATTAAAATTCAAAATATAATTGAGTATATCTTTTGTAATGCCTTTTTTTGGGAAATAACATTTCCTTTAATTGGGATTCTAAGTGTTTCCTAGCATCAAAATCAATTGCAAATGGTAACTTGTTAATGAGTATCTGCAATGAAATTTTACACATATCTTTAAAAATGTCTTTTCAACAGATGGATATTGCCAAATACTGCTATCAGTCCAGGAGCATATGGTTTTAACTGAGCATATTCATCATTTGGAAGGCATTTGTAGAACTCTATTAGATTCTTCTCTTGATATTTGCCTTATAGCATATTATTACATAGCACATTAATCACTTCCAGTTAAAGGTTAGGTGGAAGCTCTATTGTAGTGAAATGGATTTTGAAATATGAAAATTTCCTTTGCATTTGCACAAAAGTCCCAAAAATGCTGAACTCAGAAAATATATCCCCTGCTAATTTATGTGAGAATGGAAATCGTCTCATTTTGATTTTTGATAGCATGAGAAATGTCTAACACAGGATATTGTGATTCAAACATCAGTTGTTGAAATGACTTTACTGTAGTATGTTTCCCATTAAAGTTATGTTTGCCTTGTAATGGTAGGTTGAAATCTGTAAGAAATATTATCAAGTCTTTAGCAAAAGCTAATTTCCAAAGCCATTCAGAGTTCTAGAATAGTATTTAAGGGTGGGTTTTTTTTTTTTTAAAAAGATTTTATTTATTTATTTATTTTCCCCCCAAAGCCCCAGTAGATAGTTGTATGTCATAGCTGCACATCCTTCTAGTTGCTGTATGTGGGACGCGGCCTCAGCATGGCCGGAGAAGCGGTGCGTCGGTGCACGCCTGGGATCCAAACTGCGGGCCACCAGCAGCGGAGCGCTCGCACTTAACCACTGTGCTACCGGGCCGGCCCAAGGGTGGTTCTTCTTAAGAAAAATTTCAGTCTTGACCCTGAACTCAAAAAATTGCAATCAAACTTTACAATTGTTAAGCAAATGAAACTTAGATCAAGCAAGTCAGGAAATTCAGCTTCAATTTCTAACAAAATTCAAGAAATTGAAAATGGTTCAAGTTCATGAAAGCAAATGAAGTTTGTTTACCATTGACACTACTGGTTCAGTAACATGATAGTCAAATATTTTCTGCGAGGTACTTGCTAGTGAATAATACAGTGAATAACCATAGGTGTTAAACACCTTACATTTTTCACAAGCTTTGTAAATTTGTCTAACTAGATCTTTTTCTACCTCACACGTTTTTTTGCCACCATCATTTATAACACATCTTAGCAGATTCCACTTCAGGTTGTATAGAATTAGTGTTTTCTCAACTTCTTTGAAAATATTCACCTATAGTTGTTCCATGCAGAGAATTCAGAGGCTAATTCTTCAGTAACTTCAAACCCAGCACTGATGCTTAAATAAACAAGAACTGAGCAGTTTTCATAACATCTGTCAACTCATCAGGAGTCAAAGAACCACTTGGACTCATTTACCTTTTTAATTGATTACTGATGTTGCTCCCAGTGTCCTCAGCTCTTTGAGCAACTAACTGTTCTTGCCAAAATGCCAGAGTCTTAAGCAAGTTTACTTTCTCTGGACATATTTCTTCAGCTGCTGCATTCAAACACACCTCACTGTCAGTAAATGGCTTTCCGTGCTTGGCTTACAAAAGACTGACTTTCATCAGAGACTTACTTTGGTTGCAGCCTCATTTTCATTTATTTTTTATTTTGTGAAGAAATTCTGCTGAGATATTTCCAGTTTAAATTTTCTAATTTTTCTGACAGTTGCTTGTGAGTTGGAAGTACTGGGATGAATGTTTCTTTTGGTAATGTCAACATATATTGTATTTTAGCTCAGGTATAGACACTTTGTCATCTAATTCAATATCAAAATAATTCACATTCTACTGTGCCTTAAAAGCACAACTTTAGAAGTCCACTTTTCTTGTTTTGAAATGATGGCTATACACTAGGAATAATAAAATGTTGTTACAGCTTGGTGATACACATGGAACTCAAAATGCTGTTGAGTTATAACCATGTCACTGTGATTTGTAGTGTGCTGAGCAGCAGTATGAAGTAATGAGAATCACACCCAGTTTGTGTTGCAACTACTCAATTCTGCCATTATACCAAGAAAGCAGCCATAGACAATATGTAAACAAATGAATGTGGTGTATTCCAGTAAAACTTTATTTATGGACATGGAAATTCAAATTTCATATAATTTTCATGTCACAAAATGTTATTCTTTTGATTCTTTTTCAACCATTTAAAAATGTAAGAACCATTCTTAGGTCACTTACCATACAAAACAGGTGGTAGACCAGATTTGGCCTGCCAGAGTTTGCCTATCCTTGATCTAAATAATCTCATTTTTTGTTACTTTACTGTGATAGTGTAGGGGTACTTATATAAAACTTAACTACACTCTTCAACTAAGGATAACTGCAAAGTGATATTTGTGCCTTCCTAGTTAGCACAAAATTATCATACCTTCAAAAACTATTTTCCCAAAAGATAGATCGACAATATTTAAATATATTTATCTAATAAAAATTAGATACAATTTATATTATAAAATCATAATTATATAACTTACATAATAAAAATATATTTAGTAGACTTATTTCATTTAAATTTTGATAATCCTCAATTTATAAGACAGCAAGGGCAAAATATGAGTTCAATACTAAAGTAACTGAATGCTGAAATCATACAAATTATATTTCAATACATAAAAGTTTTGTTCTTTTGGAGAAAACATTTTCAATTAAGTGATTGAAGCAATTTGTGTTTTTTCTTCTGAAAGGGATTCATCTGTCCTCTGGCGTTTAAGAGGTGGTTCTTCATAATTCTCTGTAACAAATCCAGAAAACCTGTATTAGATATTTAACATTTGAAAATGCTTTTAAAAAGCACATAATATAGGTATTTTAAAGATTTTTAATCTACTCAATTTATACATAAAATAGTAACATTCCTGTGGATATATTATTTTAATGAAATAGCCTTCTACTAAGACTGAACAGTGTGTCACACTAAAATCTGTAAAACTGGTACAAACTAGTCAACCGAATGGCAGGGGGTCTTGAACTGAAATATCTAACTAGAATTAGTTCAACCTATTTCCAAATCTAATAAATAATATAAAATACATATGTAGCCCAAGAAAGGTACATGAAAGGTATTATAGTTTACATTTAATTTCCCAGAAATTTCTCACCTAGATTTAGGGTCTGGTTCTTGTATAGTATAGCAGCAGGAATCTGAAAGGTGATGCATAACATTTCCTTGTTCGGGGCCACATTTCTCACTAGGTGAACTGAACTGCATGCCTCCAAGGAAATGCCTAACACAGCTCCAGCTCGTCGCTGAACATCCTTAGCAGGGTTAGCATCTTTGGAAAAGCTGTAACAGTGCACTGTGGGAAGGAGTTCATGGCTGCATGGCTGCCCATCTAAAAGCGATTTGAAAGCACTGAGAAACTCGATAGCCTTTGCTGGCAAGTTCATGACAATGTGCACAGAGTGTTTTCTTTCTTTTGACAGTGGTCCCAGCTGCTGCATTAACTCTTCTCTGACTGGTCCTTGGAGGAAGTCTTTCCCATCCAGGTTAAAGACTTTCACCTTTTGGTCCACTTTATTTAATTTACAATTGTGCAATAGCCACTTATGGGATTCAGGATTGAGATCATTGGCAAATACAGTGCAGTTTTTCTTTGCTACTGGAATGGCAAAGGGCCCAACCCCGGCAAAAACATCAAATAGGACATCCCCAGGTTTGAGAAGTTCGGTGATACGGCTGTGTTCTGTAGAGAGACGAGGATTCCAATAGACTTTTGAAAAATCAAATTCATAGGTGTAGTTGTTTTCTCGAACCTGAAAAAGGTATTATGCTTTTGGTTAATCTGCTTAGTCTTAAAATTCCAGCCACTGGTATTGGATGGGTGCACCCATGCACATTCACACATTTAAATTTATGACTATTAACAGCAAATAACAGTGCATTTAAAGACATTTTAACTAGAATTCTGGTGTTTATGCTCTATTTGAGGCCAGTTAATATCGTGCATTAGACTTTTTTTTTCTTTTATTTTGCATTAGACTTTTTCATGAGAAAAGTCATCTCTTCAAAGCCAAATGGCTCAACCTCATCATAAAGGGCTACGAAGTGGTTCCCAAATCACATGAGGAATTTTTCAGATAGGCCAATTGACTGGCTTAGTTATACTCTTATGTCACGTGGAGAGAAAAAAACCTATAATTTGAAACAACACACTACAAGTATCTTCATGATGGGTAGCTAAATTGTAGACAGCACTTCCACACAGCAAACAAGCTTCTCTCCTTATTTAGTTTTCAGTTTGTAAGAGGGAGGCATGATAGATGTGTCATTGAATTCTGAGGTATTTTGCTATGTTTTTAGACAGTTACTTGGACTTTGCAAGTTTCATGTCTATCAATTAGAGCCAGTGTATAGAACAAATCATTCCCCCCTTTTCTCCTTTCCCAAATTTGAGTTTTCATGGATAAAAGAAGCTAAGTCTGGAATAAAATTACAACTTTGTACCACTTCTTTTGGAACTATCATAAACATGATGGAAAATAGAAACCAAACTAAAATTACAGTCATGGAATGTGACCTCAGCCATCATCTTGAGACCCTTATTTTAACGAATGAGGAATCAAAGGCCAGAAGGTTCCTAAATTTTATAAATCTGATAGACATAGATCCTCTATATTCTGCCTTCATAGACCTTAATTCCAAATTTGTACATATTTTTTTCCTCCCAACTACATCAGATGCTCTGGCCATATTATTAAGGTCCCAGAGTTGGAAATGTTTCTTCAGGATTCTGCCAACTAAAAGTCTTTCTAGGTACATAACCTGGAAGGTTTAAATATGTCTTGGGATGCTTTTCCTGAAATCTCCTTTCTACTCCCCTTTTTAAGCTTCTTAATTTGAAGCACAGTTCTGGTTAAAAAAAAATTATAGATCTTAAGAATCCTTCTGGTTTTACTCACACTGTCTTTGACATTTCACTCCCTTAGTTAGCATTCCTTTCAGCCAGATTCACTGTCAGGAATCTTTTTACTTACAATATACACACATAGAACTTAAATGTTGCATGAGCTCCCAAACTTAAATGTGACTCTGGAGCAAAGAAATTATACTGAGTGAGTTTTTACATTGATTTTATGGTATAAATATTAGGTCTAAAATATGTCCTAAGAAGAAACGTTAGTTGACAGGAAATCAATCACAAGGCATTTATAAAACTACAGAAGTTTCTCAGAACTTTTAGATCCTCTCTCTGAGAAGAAGGATACTACCTGTTACTCTAAGGGTCAGTACCAAGTGAAGAACATGCACAATGGACAATCAGGGTATACCTAAAGGATATGCCTTACTGTTAGCTGAGATAAGCACTTACTACCAAAGGATTCACATTCAGATCTTACTTGCCATAACAGACCTCATACATTACACAGAAGCAGCAGGCAGTGGGGGTTTGGTATACAGGGAAAGACCATGCGTGGGCTCTAGAGTGAGAAGCCTGGCTCCAAACACCCTGCTCAGTTATTCTTTGTTACTTCATCTACAACCATTATCTTGTGGGTTTCTTAAGGATTTGTTATATTTGAAGCATATAGCTCAGGGCCTAACAGTAAGTGTGTAGTAAAGGGTATTTTAATATTCTGCTACTATTAAATTATGGAGAAATAATATTGTACTAAAAATATTCACCTAAGTCTATGTGGCCCAGAATCTTAAAAAATAATTATTTTGCATAAGCTCTCTTCTGAGTTTTATAAAGTCTTGTTTAAAAGGTATGTCTAGAATTTTAAGACTGGCCTCTGTTATTAAAATTTTTGTCAAGTTATGCAGAGTGTTTAACCTCTTTCCTAGCCTGGGTACAAAATTTCACATAATGTTAACATATAATTATCTAAGATTTTTGGCTTAAAAAAAGTTTATTATATTCAGTACTCCAGAGGACTGTGGGGGTGGAGGAGAAAGTGGTTTACACCAGGAATCTGTTCCTACATATTTTAAATTATTTTTTCTTTTAAATAGATTTGTTTTTCTTATAAAAGAAATATGTGCTCAGTAGAAAAGTATAAAGATGATAACAAAGGTCACCAGTAACTACACCAAATAAAAATATACCTATTGTTAACATTTGATGTATGTGCCTATTTACACAGATAAGTTAAAATGGAACTGTGTTATATATACTGTTCTACAACTTGCTTTTCTGTCACTTAACCTGTCAATGGGCAATTTAATAAGTATGAAACTAAAATCTTTAATGATGGAGTATTCCACTGTATTGTCATATCAGAATTTAATCAGTTCTCTACTGATGAACATTTAGGTTGTTTCCATTCCTCTATTTGTTTGTTTATTTATTTTGTTATTATAAAAATGATGATGAAGAACCTAGTACATACATCACTACAAATTTTGTCCAGTTATATCCTTGGGATAATTTCTTATAAATGGAATGTTAGGTCAAAGGATATACCTGTTCAAAATTGCAATATATTACCGTACACTTTTCTTCAATGTTTATTTCTAGTCCCATCAGTAGAAGATACAAATGCTCCCATTCTCACATACTCATCAATACTGGATATTATAAATATATTTAATCTTTGTCATCTATTCTGATGCTAAATATTAATCTTGATAAACACTACACTAGGACACAATAAAATACTCTATACCTTTGTCGTCATGTTCTCCTCTCCAGATAGCACTTCCATTTGGAAATTTCGGTATGTATTATCAATAATATTGATTTTATTTACTGCTGAAGTGATTCCTGGATTTTTGTCAATCATAACTTGGCCTAAAACAAAAGATGAGAATTCATAATAAATATTGCTTATTGGTTGTAAAATAAAAGCTAAAACTGCAAATATGAAATGGAAATGAACTGTATTTTCTCTTGGTTTATGGACAAAAACTGCATCTAGCGTGTATAAAGTAGCATACAATTCTAAAAATTCAACAGATTACTAAAGTTAATGTCTGACGGCCTCCAATACAATACAAAAAAATGTATGGGCACATTTTTAAAGAAAAAATTTTGAGTTTGGGTCTACCTAATATTTTTCCATGTTTTCTACTATATCTTCTCAATGTACCAATACAACAATAAGCAAAAAGGGAGACCATAGGGAATTGGTAAAGAATGAAAAGAAGAGATGTAAGAACTGTGGCAACAAATGGTCTTAGAAAACACCAGCCTGTCCCCATTGGCCTCAAACCAAATGTCTGCTTTACTGTGTACTTGAAACAGATGCCCCCACTTTGGAAATATATACCAGCAAAGTAATGTTTTCAAATAAAAGCAATATAGATTCTTTAGAATCTTATTTAAAATGTTCATTTACTTAAGTTGTTCTTTTTGTCAAATATTTGCCAGAGCAGAAAAAGCTACAAAGATAATAAAATATGCCAAAAATGATATATTGACACCCTTTAATCAAAGTCTACTTTTTTTGTCAGCACTTAAAAATTTATAAGAATCTATATGCTATCTCATTGCATAAGAAAGATAATTTAAGTTAGTAAAAAGTACTCAATAATACAAATATGCTGAAATACAACCAGAATTTGTCCAATTTCTCTCTGATAATTAGATACCTGATTTTAAATAGGATAATATCAGTAAACTCTAGCTAATCATTGCTCTTATCCTGTTCTGCTTCAGGTATCAGAACTCAATTTTTAAGGTACAAAAGTTAGTTTGAAATGAGAAATGAAATAAAAAATAGAAACCTATTCTGAAGGTCTATAGTAAAAGCTTTAAAATTACCATTGTATGAAAATATTTTACTTTTAATCTATGAGTGCCCCTTTATGAAAGAGATGTTATAAAATAGGAATGCAAAAGGAATGTCTGAGTTAGGATAGGCAATGGCTCAAGGGAAAGCCTAGAGCTGATATTTGCACCCAGTCATAATTATAAGGATCTGCTTAAGTATTTATTATGTTATCAGTATGCATTATCAGCCCCTTTCATCAATAAAAACAAAGGAAATGCATAATAGCATATTTCTGAAATCCTACCCATGGAAAATATTGAGCACTACATTTTAAAGTTGAAAATCATTCCCAGAAGTTCTGACAATTACTCTACATTAAAAAAAATTAATCTAGAGAATGCATGGCCATCAAATATTTATATAAGGACAGGAGCAATTCTGATTAGTCTCCTACTTTTTTCTTATCCCAAATAAAGGACCCAGGCTCAAATTTAGGGCTACAGAAGTATGACATACACAAGCATCATTTCTAAAAGGCTAGGCACACTAAAAAACAAAGCACGGTGCCTGGCATATAGAAAAAGCTCAATTAGCTGAATCGATGAAAGCATGAGTAAACATTATCCTGCACTTCTGACTATAAAACACTCGAATGTATGAAACCTAGCATTCAACACAGTCCTGAAGGCCTAATAAGTCCTGTGTACCAAAACGACGAGCTGCCAAAGCAACTGATTCAAGTCTAATCTATGCTTATGTATTGTGTACACAAAAGCTTTCCTGATGTTTGGAGCGTACTGACTCTGGAAAGGGTGTTCCAAAATGACCCTCAAAAGAGAGGGTATGTAGCTCAAGATCCAGCTTAAAATTAAAATGATACAATGTCCTGCTTCTGTAATTTAGCATTTTAAAAAATAATTTTAACAACTAAAATTAGAACTTCCTAATTGCTTTCTAGCATGCAAACATGACTACAACACACCTACCAATTAAATGCTTGAAAGGTAGTTGATGATCTCGAAGGTTCAGGTGAGCAATATGTCCAACTCTGCTAAACCCTGAAGTCACATCTTGACCTTCAGGAAGCACAGCTCTCAAGATTTCTTCTGACTTAAAGTTTTCATAAGTTAGTTCCAAATTATAGTTAGATATCTGTGGGTTGACATTAAGCTGCCTTAAAATACTGAGTTCTGCTTTCTCAAAGGAATCATCAGTAAACATTTTATAGGGATCCAACATAATTAGTCTACTTTCTTCATCTTCTGGATCTTCAATCACACGTTTTATTCCTGGGCGCTGCAGTGCTGCCCTTTTAAGGGATCGCATCAATTTACTGACAATTTCTTTCCTCGCTTTAAGCACCGGGATGGTGACTGTCTTTTTAAAAGCTGTTCTATCAAGTTTTGTCATTCCTCTAACATCAGAGGGTGGTGAAAACAATTCAGAGTCTCTCTGATTTGTTTCTGTTTCAGGCATGGTTGAGAATCTTTTTCTTTGACCCAACAAGAAAATACGAGGTGCTCTGCTAAGCCTTTGTATCAGTGATGTCCAAGTTAGTGGAATCAACGATTCTGATTCAGTTATTCTACAGTTTTCCACTTTGAGAAGTCTTCTTGAGAATCCAAATGGCCTCCATAAGATCCTAAAAAAAGTATTCATTTAAAAAAGTACCATAAAGCTACAAACCAACTTACATGTTCACAATAGGTTTTGAGAATAAAAATCTAAATTCTACTGTTTTAAATAACCTGCTAAATGCTGATAATTAAAACTTTTAGTAGAGTGTGTGAAGTATACTATCTTTTCCAGGATAGGATGACTTTTATTAGTGGTAAATAATAAATTTGCACCTTCAACCCACCTGCTGCCAGGCCAAAGGCTTAGTGATCCATCAGCCTTCCTATACTCAATGAACTTCTCCACCCACAATTTTCTAGCGAATCATTTGGGATTGGAAGGCTGAGATTTGAGTTAAAGCATCATCTCTAAGTGAAATGGTCACTATATTTATGACTTTATTACCAATAGCAGTATTTACTAGTATATTCTTATGGGTGCTTATGGTGTCAGATGCTGTGCTAAATGCTTTTCACGGACTATCAATCTTGGGGAATGTACGATATCGCATCCTCATTTTGTAAATGAGCAAACTAAAGCACAGAAATAAGTTAATTCACCCAACGTCTCGTTGCTAGTAAGTGGCTAAGCAAGGATTAAAACCCAGGTCTGTCTTCGGTGCTTGGGTTCTTAATATATTGCTACGTTGTTTGTCTTGACTGCCACAAGTCCTGCTTCTAACTAGAGGTCTCAGTATTTTGAGGACGAGGACTTTGCTGAGTGTTATTTGCGCTTCCCATTAATAGTAGCAGTCATTGTTTGCCTTCTAGAATAGCAAAGAAGTAATGTGAGAGGAAACGGCCCCGCCCCGGAAGCCTGAAAAGCAACTATCAAACTTCACAGTTAGGGTTCAAAATGGGTCTAGCAGTTAACCAGCTACGTGATCTCGGGTAGACTACGTAATCTGAGTCTCGGTTTCCCACGTGTAAAATGCGGCTAACAGCTCTATCAGAAAGCTTTTGGACAGACTAAGCAGACTCCTCACCACCCAGTGCTGGGACCGAGGCTCAGCAGCCCGGCGCGGGGGTGACCTCGCGACGGTTCCGCGCCCAGGCAGGGCGAGGCGGAGAGCAGCCCGGGGGGCGGATACCGCCACCGACTCTCTGCCCCTTCGAGCTATCAAGGGCACCGCGGCCGCCACCTCACCAAGGTCACCATCTCAATTCCCGGTGCCGGCCCGAAGCGGGCTCCAAGCCCAGACCGCTCACCTCATGCTCCGGCGCAGCTCGGAAATGGGTCGCTGGTAGAGAGGCGGGCCCTCAATGACATCATCACTGTTCGCCGCCGAGCGGCGAGCGTTATCAAATCGCGTCGATCCCCTCCGTCCTTCCCCGCCCCGGCGTGGTACGGGACCTGGGAAGGGCGGCGCCCACAGCTCCGCCTCTGGCGCGACTCACGACGGGAGGGCTGGGATAGCTCGCAGATGGAGCTGGTAGTCGGCCAGCGAGCAGCATGCAGGCGCCCTGGGGGACCCTCAGTGCCGAGCGGGGCTGTTACGTGTCTGCCCAGCAGCCCGAAGAGGCGGAGGCGGAGGCAGAGGCGGAAGAGTTGTGCCCGTTGCTAAGCAACGTAAGTGGGCTCCGCGCTTCCCGGCGCCGACGGCCGCTGGGCTGCCCTGAAGTGCCCGCCAAATAAGACCGGGAAAGGAAGGGCGACGGCACCGGGAGAGGGGAGCAGCTGAGCCTGACTCTTGGGGGATGGGGCAGCAGCTGAGATTCAGATGAGATCTGGCGGAGTGCTTGAATGTGATAGCTGCCTAACGTGTCCTAGAAAGAAAAGCTGAATTAAAGGTTCAGGCGCAGGTAGTAGAGAGGCAACTCCGAGTGGAGGCTGGGGACCCGACTGGATGAGCAGCCCTAGGGTCATGTCACTCTCTGCTGTTTGTTAGTATCTTTGTCAGCTTCCTGTTTCCTCCACCAGTCTTGTGCGGTTTTTCCAAGAGTCACGAGATTTTTTTCTTTTGTCGACTTAGTCCTTGGGGCCTATAAACAATACAGAGATCCTTAGCGGTGAAGGAGTGGAGGTGGCCGGGTGACAAATTCGTAGCACTTCCCTGACCCTAAAGCCAATTCGTTGGGCACTCGGCTTTTTAACCCAAGTCACTGGACTGTAACAGTTTTTAGGATTTTACTCCCAAATACTATTTTGGGGTGGGGGTGGGGTGTTATCAGGGGTATCCTCGCCAGAGCAAAGTGAATTGCTTCTATTTGTTATATGTCATTGCAAGGTATTCCTGACCATCCTTCCAGTTGGGCGGACTTAATTCATTAAATAAGTAGAGATTAGTTTTACGGTCCTAGTAGTTGGGGAGCAACTCTTGTCTCCAGCAGCCCCAAGCTGACTCAGGAATTCTTCAGTAATCACGTGAGCTGAGGCCATCTCCCTCCTCTCTGTCACCACCCCATCCCTTTCCTGTCTTCATCGTTTGCGATCACAAGGTTAGTCATGGCTGTTCCTGAAGCCGACCTGGCCTCTGTACTGGTGGAGATGATTTTCCTAGGAAACTAGATTCCTGGAGCTGCACTAGTGGGAGGTGGAAAGGGAAGAGAGGAAACCAGTGCTGGTTGAGCAGCTAGTGTGTCACACAATGCCTGTTGCTTTGCAGGAGACTTTCTCCATAACCTGTCACTCATTTCCTGATGAAGTTTGAACTTCACCATCCAAACATTTGACGCTATTAAATTTGTGTGCTTACAGGAACTTCACAGGCAGAGCTCCCGGGGTGTTTCATTTGGCCTCTCAGTATTTAATCTGATGAATGCCATCATGGGAAGTGGCATCCTTGGCTTAGCTTATGTTATGGCTCATACTGGTATCCTTGGATTTAGGTGAGTTTTTTTCTTGTCCTACCATTACTTTTTTTTTTTTTCGTTTTGAAAAACGAAACTGAGAAACAAAGAGATAGGCTGCAGAAGCTGGTGTTATACAATTTCTATTTAAATTATTTATGGGGTTTTAACATTTTCCTGCTACTCTTATATTGTTTCTAGTCTGCAGCTTGGAGGGATATTATATAGTTTGTCTTTTTTATCCAAAAGTGTGGCTAATATTAAAAAATGGAAACTTGATCCACATTTGTTTATAACCTAAAGAAGTGACTTATTTGTTGTGTCAGGTTGGCCAAAGTGAATCAAAGTTTATCAGTCATGAAGATTACTTATAAATAGCAATTTCGTGGATGTAAATAAAGCACATAATCTTTTCATTCATCTTCATCTCCTCCACTCCTCTTATTGTTAAGTAGTCTTGGTTCCCTTTCTGAGGCTAGACATGTGTTCTGTGCCTATTCCTTTTCATCTTTCAAGACGTGCCTCAGATGCCAGTTTGCCCAAAATAGATGTTCCTGGCTTTTCTGTATTCCCATAGTACTTTGTATATTCATGTTGTTATTACAATGTGTTATAATGATTGTGTGCAAGCTAGTTCCCCCACTAAACTGAAATCCTTTAGAACTGGACCTTGTCCTTAGCATCTAGCACTATGGTTAATAGAATGAGTAGACAAGTTTATTTTGTCGGTAGAAGCAGGCCTGTTTTACTAGGAAATTTAAAATATATAGAGGGCCCGCCTGGTGGCTTAGCGGTTAAGTGCACGCGCTCCGCTGCTGGCGACCCGGGTTCGGATCCCGGGTGCGCACCGACACACTGCTTCTCTGGCCGTGCTGAGGCTGCGTCCCACATACAGCAACTAGAAGGATGTGCAACTATGACATACAACCATCTACTGGGACTTTGGGGAAGAAAAAAAGGAGGATTGGCAATAGATGTCAGCTCAGAGCCAGTCTTTCTCAGCAAAAAGAGGAGGATTAGCACGGATGTTAGCTCAGGTCTGACCTCCCTCACAAAAAAATAAAATAAAATATATAGAAAGTCTCATTTGTGGGTTGTTTGGCCTTTATTTTGAACTTCTTGATAAGTAAACCAACTTTTAAGTAACCCAAATTGCTTTTATTATGAGAGGTGTTCACAAACTTTCATGATTTTAAAAACTTCAAAACTATATGTGACACCTTAGGCAAGACATAATCATAGGACTTATTTTTTGGTTCCCTTTGAAAAATCATGTTTTATACTTGAGGGTCTTATGTGCAGACACATACCACTGAATGTGTGCTCACTGAATCATATCACTCTTCCCATTTTGAGATACTAAACTGTTATTTTGTGAGGTCTCTGATGTCAGTTTCCTGACAAGTCTACTTTCCCTTTCAGCTTCCCCCCACCCCCAAAGCCCCAGTAGATAGTTGTATGTCATAGCTGCACATCCTTCTAGTTGCTGTGTGTGGGACGCAGCCTCAGCATGGCCGGAGAAGCGGTGCGCCGGTGCACGCCCGGGATCCGAACTTGGGCCGCCAGTAGCGGAGCGCGCGCGCTTAACTGCTAAGCCACGGGGCAGGCCTTTCCCTTTCAGTTTTGCTACGTATTAACAAGTATTAAGTGAACCACAAAGATAGAATTTCATCAACTATTGGGGCACTCTGCAGGGGCCGGGTCTCTCAAAGCTTGTCCCGCCAATATTTTCCTGAAAATAGGTAGAGGGTTATGCATGTTGTTTCTTTTCACAGTGTTGGTGAGAGGACCCCAATTATTACATTGTTTTCACATTTTTCAAATTGTGTCATAAGAAGTGTGTTAACTGCATTTTTTCGGTTTGGTTTGGTGAGCATGTGTGTTTAATAGATGCTAGGAAATGCAGTCTTACTTTAGTACTATGGATGAAGGTATTTTAGGGAAGTGCACATCATTGGAAGAGGAGGGATAGAGCGAAGGAAAAAGGAGAAGACAAGGAGATTTCACACCTAAAACTTCTGTTTACACTAAGAATAGGAAAAAAAGAGTCATAAGAGGGAAACATTGCAAGATCATTGAATGGCTGAACCAGCCATCAGCAGACAAGACTGCTAAAGGGGAAAACTGTTTTTGTTTTAAATAAAGTTTGTTTCTTTCTGACTTCTTTTTTTGATTTTAAAAGCAGTATATTTCATTTAAATAAAATTTGGTAAATACAGAAAAGTGTCTTCTTACTTTCTTTACTGACCATAATCCAACTACTTAACGACAGCCCCTGTGAACATTTGAATGTGAAAAAATTTTGTTTTGTAATGAGATACCATAAAAAAGAATCTTTTGGGGGAGTTTTGACCGTGTACTCTTATATTTTAGTTTCCTGCTGCTGATAGTTGCTCTCCTGGCTTCTTACTCAGTTCATCTCCTGCTTAGTATGTGTATTCAGACAGGTGAGTAAAAATATTATGCTGATTCATTTGATGAAGCAGCTCCTTGAGGTTATATGCATATACAGAATTAGATATCTTAAATCTCTTTTCCAGTGGGGACACATTATTATTAAGTATGGTGGTTGAAATGGATAATTTCAAAAGGCCAGGATATATAGATCCAGTCCTATTGGGGAATATCCAAGGACAGGATGGGAGGGGGAAACTAGCATTCTTACCTGCCTTTCTTCTCAACACACAACATAGTTTTCTGGTTAGAGTTGATTAGGTGAAGCACCTGAAAGGTGTTCAAAGCATCCAAACCTTATGTTGTGGGGAAGCAGTAGACAGGTGTTCATTCTGGTCATATTTCTCCTAGGGTGATCACTTCTTCAAGGAGAACACAGTCCCAGATCTACTACTGCCTTCCCTGTCCCCTGTCTGCCAGACAGAAGTAGGGGTGGCATAATTAGGATTGTAGAAGGCAAGATCACTAAGCTTTGGATTTATTTAGATAGTTTTGTATTTTTACATGCAAGTCAAGAATAAGGTAGTTTTTTGTAAGTGACAGAAGTATATGCAGTTACTACAATATATATGTTTACACGTTTTTTTCCCTTTGGAACTTTATTATGCAATTCAGTCATGTATTGAATAAATTCTTTTAAGTTGTATTAAATGAAAGTATATGAATTACAGAACTGCTTTTATAAGGTTTTCCTTTTGGTGTTAACAAATATTCCATGTCCATCAGTCCTGGTCTTTTTATCTGTCTAGCCTCTTCTGTCTTTGGATTAGGTCAGTTATGATGCCAGAACCGTGAGTTTAATTCCTGTGTGGGTGAGTTCACTTTGCTCTATCTATATAGTCTTGTGAATGTGAAGTTTTCAGACTTTAAGAAACAGAATAGATGCATAAAATAGATAAAAACAGGATTATTCTGGCTGAAACAGGTGAGAGAAGCCCAAAGGTATTTCTTGAGTTTTTTTTTTTTTTTTTTTGATGCGGAGGATTA